AACTGTGCGGTCAAGAGTGCTGTGTAGGTGCTGTTAGTGCCACTAAATAAGCTACGCTTCAGAGTAACGACACTTGGCCATATTGTGGCTTAAAATCATGGTTGCCAGTTCTCTGGAGCTTTATCTGAAATCACAGGAAACGCTTTTTCGCCCTCCACAAATGTTTCAACAGTTCGCTACAGAGCAATGCAACATTACATAAGCTTCCTAACACCGAATCTAATGCTGAGGAAGTCGCACTTTGAAATCATGACGATTGGCAGTTGCGTCTGCTCTGCACAAGCCCCAAAATGGCGGCGCCCACAACAATGTCGGGGAACGGAGTGCCGATACTCTAAGCGCAGCTCATTTAGTGGCTCTAGGTGCTGTGTAGGTTGGAAACATTGGCACCGCCTAAACTAAACAGCTTTATTTTTTAACCAGGCGGTTCACTTACGTGCTTGCTGCCATAAGGAAACGTAAAGTTCTTTCTTTGGATGAGAAAGCAAACGTTTTGGACGCCATCCGGAAGAAACTGCCGAGATCACGAGCACTCGGGAAGTGCTCAACGCAATGGACGTACTGAGGAGGTACCCGGCGTCGCATGGGCAGCAAGATGCCGTGCAAGCGCTCTGGGCGCTCGAACGCCGTATGACGCCGCCGACGCCGCTGCTACTGTCGGACAAGGCGCAAGCAAAACTCGCGGACTACTTTGCCCCTAAATAAATGTCATTTTCGGTGAGTTTTCATACCCGTAAAATGTTTCGGAATTTTTTTTTTTCGCATGCTAAAGCCAACTTTCGATTTAGCGAAATTTCAATGTAACGAAGTAAATTGCGAATTTTACCGACTTCGTTACATCGAGGTTCAACTGTATATTAAAAAGGGAAAGCATTTTTATGCTGTCTCGGCATTTGTTGAGCCGACGCCCCGATCTCGGTGGGGATCCAAGGTTCCCAAATTGCACTAGCTTGGGGCGAGAATATGTGGTGGAGGAAACAAGGATCTAAGCAAAATCAGTAGACCTCCTCTTTGTGCCAAACGTACGTGAAAAAGGGCTCAGCCGGCTCTGTTGTGCACCCCACCCCATCCTCGCTGCACCGCAGCTGTACCATGCACACATGGTCGAGTGCATGGCCGACCGTGCTGCTATGGTTCATGGCAGCTACAGTATTGCTGTCAGTGCTAGTGCTCCCGCTCCTACAAGAGCAACAAAGCCACTTCGAGAGTAGATATCTTGGTGCTTTGGTATAAAGGTTGCTTTCAATCAGTATGCTGATCCTGCCTTTTTAGATTGGGGGGCACATTCCAATGAACGTGGTGACCTGTATAACGATGAATTTTCACATTCCTGGAGACTTCGTCATGGAGGCATTTGACTGTATAGCGAAGCAATCACGTTTTCCCATTCTCATTTGCACTTTTTCAGTGTATTCGTGTCTGTTTTTTGTGCAGGAACTTGAGGGGTGTCCACAGATATAGCCAAGAAACCCTTTATAATCTAAAAATAATCAAATTCAAAAAGCTTATCAAGTCATAGACCACCACACTTTGCTGCCGCAACCGAGCGGCCGCCCAAACGGGCTGCTGCAAAAGCGGGTGGGCGCAACCTCTGCATCGCCGTCTGCTCCTTGTCTGGGAAGCGGCTTTTCCGCATCGCACGCGGGGAAGTTGTCGCGGCATGCCGATGGGGGCGTTCGTAGCCCCAGCGACAACGTACCGACCGAGAGAGCCTAGATCTAAGAGAGAACAACTGCAACTATGGAGAGCATTTGCAATTCAATGGCAGATGCCTCCTGGGCAGATTGGAGCATGGTCGCCTGCATTTGGTTATCTCATGCCTTGCGTGGCACGGAAACCGGGTGGAGAGGCAGACACATTTGCAGACGTTGCTTTTGCCCCCTTGCAGACTGCAGCTCGTTTTGCTAATGTGACCCACAAACCACGTGACTCCGATTGAGCAGTTGCCCCTTCTCTCTAAAATATACACTCTCTACGCTGACGAAGCACAAACTTGAGCGCAAACTCGGTGCCGTGCACGATTCTTTGTTGGCTTCGTGTTGCATGTCGGCGTCGCTGGTTGGTGTGGTCGCTGTCTACGTAGAAGTCTAGCTTCGCTCAAGCACCAATCCGGCGAATCGTCGCCACTCAACAATGGCGAGTCTTGTCACCGCGGGCACCTCGACGGGAAAGACGAAGGCGATCTCCTCCAACCAAAAGCGTGCCGCCATCCTCGACGAAGTGCGCATAAACGTAAACATTGCCGTCCACCACTGGCGTCCTCCGCGGCAGCCGTCGCAGCTGTCGACACGCTCCGTACAGGCGCTGCCGGCGGGATTAGCAGACCGTCGGTCTGCGGAAGTGTATTTATTAAGTGATTAAATACACACAGCATCCTTCGAGTTAAGGTACAATATTTTTCTCAACTCTCGGGACCACAAAGCACGACAAGCGGTAACGCTTTGTTTGTTTGGCCGCGGATCTCCTTCCGCTTGGTAGCACGGGCGTAGCGAGCCACCGACAAGCGCTTGCCGGTGCTTTGTGCGCGAGCACCGTGGGAACAAAATCTGGGTGGTCTCGACCGGACGACGGTTTCCCTGCACGTAAGTGAGCCTAGGGACAGGGATCGAAATGGAGGCCACACTTGCCTTCATGAAAGTGCTTGCAGTGATGTGATTGCTGCGCCAATTGCGCCAAACTGCGCCAAGGGGCTAACCTTGCTACATCCTGCTACATTTCACCGAAATATGGCTAATCTGCGCCAAGCCTGCGCCAAAGGAGCATTTTTGGTCGCCTTTCGAAAACGAAACTAAGAACCGTAATTGAGCATGCATGAGCTAGGTGGCAAAAGACGCCGCCCGACACGAAGTACCCTGAATCAATCGTCTATTTGATCTTGCATGATTTTTCCCGCGTCGTCTTGCGTTTCGCGCTCTCGTCGTCTCGGGAATATTGTCTCGCGCCTTTTCCTTTTTTTTTTTTTTTTTTTACTTTTTTTTAGCGATAGACGTGGGCGTGTGCGGACGCTCCGACGTTAGTGTGCCGGGTTCTAGCCATGCCGTCATGCTGTGAAACAAAACCACGTTTTTGCGTGGCGAGAGTTACTTTGTGAGCTGAAGCGCTCGCGCGACCACAGTCGCCGTGGTCGCGCGACATCGTGTGTTGCCGTCCCCACGTCGCTGCAGATATGGCGCTTTCTAAAATGAAAGGCATCGACATTCATGCTCTTGTTTAAATCATACGCTGCTATAAAAATTCCTCTTTAACTCAATTAATGTTTGGCGAAGTTTTGATTACCTAGGTTTCTCTCGGTGGGCTTTCTTTCGAGAGGGACCCCGGTACGTGAAAAATCTCTCGCGAAAGAAAGTTGATGACGGGAAGCGAGCTAAAGCAACGAAGGCAATGTCTGCACGCTGAACCCGCACAGCGCGCTTGTTTGTCTCGAGTTTAGTCGTTGCACAAAGCGCTCCAAGAACTTTCTGACCTTGATTGGTAATGTCTTGCATCGATACTCTCAGGTTCTTTTTTCCTGTTTGTTTAGCCTGTACCTCGCCTGCCGGCCTGCCAAGCACGCGCCGCTGGACTTTTTATTGTCGTATGCTGGACAGTTACATTTTGCATACTATTTTGGGAACCAGTTGGCGACGGTGCGCGGAGTGGCATGGTTTCGGTTTCGGTCGAACAGCCGTTGTCTCCGCTCGTGCGGCGAATCACGTGTAACTGCAAGCCTGCCGAAGTTTCCCTCACGTGCATGTGAGCATGATTGCACGAGATCACCAGCCGGGACGTTTGCAATTCATTGTTTTAGGTTTGCTTACTTTTTATAAAAATCTGCCACGTCGGGAACCAGTAAAACGATAGCAAGTGTTTTTTTTTTAAATTTTTCGGCAATGCTTACAGCTTTGTATTCACTTGCGGCCATATCCGTGTGCGCTGCTGCTGAGCGCGTGCTGACGGCGAGTTTCCGCGGTCCTTTTGGAGCGTGCATTTAGCACCATCAAGGTTGCCAGTCTTAGCAGGCTATTAATTTGAACTCGTTCTGAGCATGCGCTCTAAACAGCACCCACAAATATGGCGTCCAGTGAATACCTCCTATACTTGTGGGATGTCTCAGCATCACAAACACAAGCAGCGAGTTCCGCCCCAACACGTCACATCACAACACAACACAAAAAGTGGCCTTCGTTTGTCCAGCACTTAAAACAAATATTTATTTTTCTAAGATTATATGCTCCAGAAGTCACTTTTTCTGCTCTGAAACACTGTTTTGGCTGCTCCAAAAGCCACTTTTGCTGCTCCAAAACACTGTCTTGGCTGTTCCAAAGTCCACATTTGCTGCTCCAAAACACTGTTCTGGCTGCTCCAAAAGGTGCTCCAAAATGGCTTAGGCCAATCACATCACTGTGCTTGCCGCACAAACTCTCACCTGCACGAGGCGACTATTCTTTTTCGATCCACGGATATTATCCACCTTCTGCGCCTTTCAGAGTCCGCCGGGAACTTGTGGAAACTCGCTCCTCTACTTTTCCTGTACCTTTCGATGCAATTAACGACTACACAGCTTTGCGGCATTCTGAAATGCTACGACTCCGATGTGAAACGTGCGCCCTTCTGCCCACACCACTCGACTCCGGTGCGATCACTGCGCTGCCGCAGCTCCACGATGTCAAGCCTGCGTGTCGGTCTATAACGAAGGAACGTATATAGCAAGGCGATTTCAGATTCCCGTTAACTCGGTTATAAGTGGTCCTAACAGGATGTGTATTCAAATTTGAAGTGATTGGAGAAGTGGGTGAATGGAAGGCTGCTAGCAACAGCTAATGAAACTACCGAGTGGAAACAGCTCGTGGAAAGCGCCGTTTCACCTTTGCGGGAGTGAATGGGCGTGTTGAAAACGAGCAATTCACCGGGTCGAGGACAGTAGCTACGTAAGGACGCGAGAACACTTGCTTTTTGGATTTTCGTAGTGGGGCAGTAGGCTGTGTTTTGGTTGAATGCCGAGACGAGAGCGTTCTGTCCAGGTGCACGTGAGGTGCGTCGACCTGGGGACGGAACTCTGGGTGGAGCCTGGCAGCCTGTACGACCTGGAGGCATTTGGGGACAGCGTGGCCCGTCTTCCCCACCAGGTGTGTTGGAGGGCCCAGACAGGGCTTGGACCACGGGACTGCAGGCGGGTTGCATGCACGGGCGTTGCACGGAGAGGCCTCCTCCTCGCAGCTGGTATTGCAAACGCGGCCCTCAAACCACGTGAGCCCAATCGAGCAGTTGAAACCACTCTCTGATCTAGGCGTGCCTCGATGCTGTGCCTGCACAGGTCGGAAGAGCTCTTGCCTTTTTATGCGACGATGGGACACAATTTGGTATATTCGATATTCGCTGCGTGAAATAATTCAAAATGGATACGAGATTATTGTGGTAGGCTCTTGGCTCAATTTACATCTAGTGGCTCAAATATTGCTCAACGTCATTTTGTGCTAATGAAGATTAAAAAATTACACCATCTTCCCGAGGGGAACCATGGGGTGATGCGGAGCATCGCGGATCGTTATTAACGGTGTTAGTAACGTTGTTAATAACATTGTTAGTAACGTTGTTAACTTGCATGTTATTACGTTGTTAACTTGCGTGTTATTATGTTGTTAACTTGCGTTGGTTACCACACATCGCGTGAACGTTGTTGGAAACTCCGCGATGCTCCGCATCACCCCATGGTTCCCCTCGGGAAGATGGTGTAATTTTTTAACGTGCATCACGCAGTAGTGATCACACGAACGCGTGCCGGTACGAAATTCATCCAGATCGAGACGGGCGGGGGCGGCGGGGATCGAACCCAGGAGGTTCCCAGCGCAAGCTTTCGCTCCACGCTCCGAGCTGAGACACGTTAGCCCACTCGGCCACTTCCTTCCCTTGAACGCGTGCAGCGCGCTACCGCTGCTTATAATCACACTTGAAGGAAAGGAGACTAGAGGAGGAGAGTTGCACATGCGTGCGCGGTGTGAGTAGAAGCGAACGCACGTGAAGTGCACGCAGCTGGTAGAGAGAGAGAGCGGAGAGAGTAACGCGCAGCTGTTGGAGAGAGGGAAGGAGGAGAGTTGCGCATGCGTAGTGTGAGTGCGGACAACGACGCCGCGGGACATAGACCCGAGCAAGAGATGCTCCACATCTAAAATGTACCATATTTACTCGCACAAACTTTTTTACAGCTGAGCTGTTGAAGGGCTAGTTTCCCTAGTACCGTGTCCGTCAGCAAACGAATGATGACACGAAACTCCGCACAGCTACAGCCATTTATGTGCGACGGCAGCAACCAGACAACTGGCTTGCAGGTTGTCTGGTTGCCGCCATCCCTCTTAGATGACGCAACCTTTCCAGCCTTTCCACTCTGGCTTGCCGACTTGTGGCCTGCAATTTGTTCCCAGCACTGCTTTGCTGGTCTTTCTTCTTCACCAGAGAGGCTGAGAGTTTTGTTTCTTTGGAATTTGGAAATAAAAATTGGCTTTTGCGAGCTAACAAACTTTGAATTTATTACTTTCCTAGAAATGTGGGTCAGGGTGTTGCAGCTGGCAGGCTGTGAGATGAGCCTCGTGGGTTATGTAATGTTCTTGGCAAAGGTGCGGCTGGGTCTTTCGGCAGGTAGGGTCTGCCATGTTCTGGTGGAACGACAGAGAGCCACTGCCACCTCAGGGCTCCGCAAGCGCCTGTCGAGGTCTCGATTTATTGCGCGGCTCTGGAAATTTCCAATGGGAAGTTTAGGGATGGGTAAATTAGCGCTTCATCGCTGCCGGCTACGATCGTCAATGCCCTCGTATTCACGGCCCACAAGGAGCAAGCCCCAGTTATCCCAAACCCGAAATTGCGGAAACTGCCCGTTCCTTGGATTGCGATGGAACAAAATTAGATTGCCTGAGCTCCCCGCATTCGAAACTGTGGAACATTGGAGCGGGAACTGCGGTCGGTTGTGCCTGCCGTGCGCTACCAGACTAAACTATAGCACCTGCGGCCAGGAAACTTGTGGGCGTTGCTCGTTTCAAATCTATGCACGCTCCGCTCTCTGTGGGGAGTCGCCGTCCGATTCTCTTCTGGAAAACTGGCCGCGTCGCTCTGGTGGCGGCAGATGGCATTTTGGGTCGGGAGCGGAGGAGTCCGAGTTTTTCGACACGTGCACGCGAAGCTTCGGTCCTTGGACTGCTTACCGGTCTCGAAACTCAGCCAGTTTCCGCCCTAGTAAACTTTGTCACCACGAGCGTCGCCAAAAAGGAATGTTTAAGGGAGGCCTAGAAAAATTTTAGCCTATTGGCTACCATGCGCGCTGCCGGGTCGTCCGTGCCACGGGATTTCCCCCCTAAAACAGGGCCACACTAGGCATGACTGTCGCTTGTATAATAAGCTTTTACAGTAAGACTCGGTGCAGGAAACAAGAAAACATGTTTGTATACATGCTCAAGTAGTTTATCGAGTCTACAAATCATCAGGCCCTCCCAGATTCTTCCTTGTATCACAGATCCCAAAGCAATTGTTCCTCGGTCGCTTAGGCGTTGCACAACCAGTGCTTTCCTGTTGCGATTCAGACTCAACTGCTGTCGGAATTTCTCTCGTCGTCGACAGAAGACCCCGAAAACTCACCATCTTCACCAGACGTCATCATCTCTGTCGAAAAGGGTATCTATGATTTCATCGTCAAAAATGCCACACCGTACACTGGACGCTGCCATCTTCTCCAAGCAGGCAGCGATCAAGCAGGAAAGGCGTCACACACAAAAACAAGCTCAAACAAACTCAGTGATAGGGAGGCTCAAGTGAGGGTGGGCGCAACTCAAAACCTGGAGAGCGTTTGCAATTCAATGGCAGTGCCTGAGGGAGAGGATTCGGGAGAGGAAAGGCCCCAATGTTGCCTGCACGAGAGCAGACGCCCGCTTTGTTGCAACATTGTTGCTCCATGCGCCTTTCCTCCTCTCGCCTCCCATTGCAAGCAACGAACGCCTTGGCGCAGCCTCTCTCGCTTCCTCCTCGCTCCGGGAATTGCAAACGTCGAGAGGAGAAAGCAGGGTTGCCAGACAAGCAGCAACGTCCAAGATGGCGGAATTTACCATTTTTCGCGTTAAAAAAATACTTAACCTATCGCAACAAAGCTGGTGGCTATGGAAAAGTAATCATTTATACCGTGTGTAAATTATTCAAGCACCTTAATGGGCTCTTATGACCTGAGTTAGGAAATAAAACGACCCTTTGCCCCATAGACTCCCAGCAAAATTTAGCAATTAAATGGCGTCCATGTCCCGTGATCCCCGATCTAGCAGTTGCACCCGCCCTCACTTGAGCCTTTCTACACAGTGAAGAGAATGACTCTTGCCATCTGTTGGCAATGTATCTAACTGCACTGTCCCAAGTGTACGTAGCACGCCAAACAAATTCATGCAGCCCAACGCTGGCTTTGGCAATATGGCCCCTGACGACACGCCCGGCGGTTCTCCAACTTCGGTAGCGAATCGGTTAATACTCGTAAAGCGAACGTAGCACCTTTCGCGTCGGAATTATTCTGAAATGACGCGACCCGTAGGTCCTGCACAGGTTTAGATGGGTGCGAGGGTTTTGCGAAGGACTCGTCCGGCGTCTTGTCAGTCAGCCGGGTTCCTCCCAACGGGTTTTCTCGTCAGAGCGAGCGCCGTCCTCCGCAGGCCCTGGCGTGCCGCCTGGGGGAGGTGCATCCGTGGACGGAGAGTGCAACTGTGCGGCTCACCCAGCTGGTGCCCCCGGACCTGGAGCTGCTCGTCAAGGTTAGCCCACGTTCCTCCACGTCCGGGACGGTGCCTCTGTTTGTATGTTGGTTTCAAAGCAAAACACCAGAGTGCCACGCCGTCGGAGTAGCTGTAATACTATGAATTCAAAAGTCTGCTTACTATCCCCAACTGGAATCTAAAAAGACACTCGAGTACCCACAGCGTTCTTTGGCGCAATGGTGACGAGGTAGGTGCCTTTTCCATTGGCGTCGTACTGGAAGAGAGCACTGTACAGAGGACGTGTCGATACGCACGTCGAAGTGATCCGTGTTACTAAAGGAATATTCACACGAGGGAGAAATCCTGGGGATTTCTCCACGGCACGCGCATCCCGCGACGAAAACGTTGTTCTTTGCATTATATAGAAGCCTCGTGTTTTCGTCTCGTGATGCGCGCGTGTCGGGGAGAAATCCCCGGGATTTCTCCCTCGTATGAATACCCCTTAGCTGGGTCTCGGTGAACTCGAGGTGGCACCAACCCTGCAGAGTTTTCTTTGGTGTTCCTTTGGAGCCCAGCAGACAGTCAATTTGCCGTAGGTTCGTGGCCTTTATCGGCTAGTTTGTCTTTTAATGCATGTTTTACCAGTCCTTTTATACGAGAAGGTTGTCACAAACAAGCGTCGGGAACGAGGGTCAGAAACGAGTGATGTGCTGGCAGAGACGGTTATGTCGAAGCTCCAAGTTGGTTTGGTGCATGGCCCCTGAGCGCAGCTGATCTGGAAAGAATTTTTTAAATTCGTGGCCACGAGATGAAAATAATAGAATATTAAATTAATGAAATGAAATAAATAAATAGTAAGAATGAAAAAAAAATTGTTTAAGGGGTAACTGCAAAGAAAGTGTGTTTATTTAAACAGCCTAATTGGGACAAGCGTGTTACAAAACAATTTTACCGCGAAAAAAAAAAATTACAGCAATATTGATTGCGGGAGACTGATTTTAGTTTGCGGCAATTTCGTCCGTTTTAAATTGTGCGCCACAGAGTGGGTATTATACGTCACGGAGTGGCTGCTATACTTCTCATTGGCTAAAAGTTTGATTTACAGCTTAGATCTTGGTTGTTAAACCTTCGTGGTATGTTGTAATTTCCTTTTGAGCGACATATTTTTACGTTCAAAGAATAACCCATGTAATGAGAGTTAGTATTCTTTACGAAAAATTTATAAGACGGGCAATTTCGTTTGGATTCATACCATAATATACAGAAGCTTTGCCATCTTCAGCAGTTTATTTATTTATTTATTTATTTATTTATTTATTTATTTATTATACCCTCAGGGCCGAAGCATTACAGAGGGGGTGGGCAACGGAAGTACAAAAAACGCTGAAAATGGTTAGTCCGGCACAGATCATGAATAGTAACTTGTTAAAGCTTCTTTAAAGAGGACAAAATCGCCAATGGACGCAATGGGTGAGGGAAGGCCGTTCCAATCACGAGATGTTTTTGGGATGAAAGATTTGAAAAAAATTTGAAATGGAAGTGGGTATACCAACTTTGCAGCAGTGATCGAGGCGAGAGGATACGTAGATGGGAGCACTGATTAGTTGTTCTTTCAAGAGTGAATTGGCATAGTAAATTTTATGGAATAAACAGAGACGGGAGATAGTGCGACGAGTGGAAAGAGGGGGCAGTGAGAGACTAGCTTTCATGGATGTGACGCTTGATGTACGATGGTAGTTGTTTGTTACTTTCGTTTTACTCCTTGCTTTTCTTTCTTTTTGCGATGTCAGCTTCTGTAAAGCGGGGCTGTTGCTCTGTAAAGTGCTGCTAGATAAGTGACCGCGACAGTGAGTCTTCCAGCAGCCATGTCACCCCAAAATATGACAAACTCAAAGCTATTTGGCTGGAGGCAGTCAGGCGTTCGTGTGGCGACAAATGTGTCCAGGTATGTTCTTGTCATTTCGCTCCGGAGGCCTTCGAGATTTGCACCAGGTGCACCAAACGTCTGCAACTGAGACACAGCTGTTACGTAAATGGCATCTTTGTTTGCTCGCCGAAGACGCTATCTCTTTCTCGTGGGGATACACCTAAGCACTTCTAATGAATTGTGAATGCGAAAGTACACGCACCGCTTTTCGCTTCCTTCTTTAATCTGCGGCGTGCAACGCGCTGATCCTGGGCGTGGAACGGTGGAGCCGCTGCCTCACGGACACGCAGCGCCACCGGTGAGCGATCAAACTGTCGTGTGCCTTGTTGTGTGAGGAAGGAACACACAGCAACGTAGTTTCCAGCAGAGCGAATCCCGTGGCTTATTCCATGCACCGTATATATTCCCACGCGCCCTACAACCGATAAGAGGCGGAACGCGGTGATCACTGATAACACAACAGCGTGATGAGACAGTCAGGATGACATAACATAAACTGACGCACAGCGACCAGTGGGAGCCTCGTCGAAGCGCGCCAGTCAATGGGACCAAAGTGTAAAAAATGCCAAAGGCTAGCTTCGTGCGTGGTTTCATTCAGGTGCCGTTTTGCATGGTTTCGAAGCCATTGACGTCGACTTGCTCCATGAGACAGTTAATGCTTTCGCATCAAAAACCTGGCACAGCCAGGTTATTACGTGACAGCTGTCCGCAGAAACCTTTGGACGTCCAAATTCTGTTTTAGCCGACAGATTTTTTTTCTCGGCTTGTGAACCATCTTACGTAAAGTTGTTTGAATTGAGTGTGGAGTGTACTGGTTCCTTCCCACCTGTAAAGTGTCAACCCGCCTTGACGAGTATTATTCTCTCTAGAGCTTGCGACGTCCAAAATGTTTTTTTATTGAGCCATGGTGGCCGAGTGAAATTTCCACCTTTTATCCCCACCGCTGTTTGGTATACCGAGTTTCTTGTGAAATTGCGGTGGCGGCCTAGTACCTGTGGGTCCAAAATGAGCACCTCGCACAGTCAGGTTATTACAAAACAGCTGAAGAAAAAGCGAGATTCCTATTGAGTGCAGCATGCGATTCTATTTCAGTTTATGACTAAATATTTAAACCATGTGTCTTAATTAAACTCGCTACACTCTTTCCTTGAGAGAAGTTCTCATTGGCCTAATCAATATAACCGTCCAAGCAGTCTTAGTTCCCAAAGGACAAGCAAGAATCAGCTGATTGCTCTCATCGAGTGAAGTCGCTGATTTTATTTTTGCCTATAAAACAAGCTTCACACCAGCTCATGTCATTTAGCTCAGTGCCCTCATCCGGTAGGCGATCTGGAGCACGACGGTTTAGGATGCCACCGAAAAAGTTGGCGTGATCCGTGATGCGGCGGCCTCGGGGGCGACCTCCGGAACTTGCAGGCAGCTGACGCACTCGTTGGCCGTCGGCATTAGTTGGCAGCACTTTTTTCTTTCAGTCTTGACAAATCGAGGCAGTTGGGTAACACCCGAGCCATTCACTGGCCAATTCGTAGAAGTGGGCGAGAAGATAGCAGCGACGCAGTCCTTTGTCCCGCCTAACGAAGAACAGCTGTAGTTCAATTACCAGCGGGTGTCGTTCGACCGTGCTGAAGGCTCGGGAGGTGCACCATGTTCGTTCTGGCAGTCGTCCTCCGCGGCGTGTTTTTGACAAGACTCACCAGAAGTCGAGACGCTGTGTACGTCGTTCAATTCCGCAGTCAAGTCAATTCAAGAGCGAGGGGTGGGGTGTACTTCTCCGCACGGGTCGAAAGAGCGGGAGTTTTAAATATATAGAGGTTGGGACTCTGACTCAATTATGTCCTGTAACGTAAATGTTGCTAAACAAGTTGTTTTTTTTCGCAGAAGATTTTTTTTTTGTGACATGCTTGTCCCAATTAGGCTGTTTAAGAAAAAAAAAACATTTTTTTTTTCAGTTGCCCTTTAAAGTTCTATATACATGAAATGGAGTCTTTAAGAAGGGATAGTTCTTTCATTTGCTTATTTTAAACCGAAAGCGTCTGTAGGTCACACGACATTGGGTGATGTGAGCCACAAAGTTTCCCGCCAAATTTAGCGGGGAAACTGAATTTGTTCACATGATATCAGTTTCCCCGCTAATTTGAGATGGACGGACAAAATTTTTGGATTAGAGGGTAGCATTAAAATAACCGAGGTATGGAGTGTAAGTGGACAGGAGGCGGAGAGTGCAGCGGGTCTCTGGGTGCAGGTGATGAGCCCCGCCCGGGAGGACCGTCCCACTCTGGTCGCATTCTTCAAGCGCACAGAGCCCCACAACGAGCTGGTCTCCATCAACGCCTCCCTGGCCGTCTCTCTGCAGGCTGACAGGTGGGCCTCCGGCCACGGGCTTTTCCTTTTCATCGTCCCGTACATTTTGGCCACTTTGCACAGAAAAGCGGCAAAGCTTTGCTTCTAAAGTCTGTACATACCGTATTTGCACGAATATAATGCGACCACGAATATAACGCGAGGGCAGTTTTTGATGCCCCCAAAAAGAAAAAAAAGAAATGTTATTACTATTATAACGCGAACCGATGCCGCGTCAATTTCTCGCACTCGGGGGCATAGCAGAAGTGAAAAGTCAATGGAAATGGAAGAAATATCAGTTTATGTTTTGGCAGCACTCATCCTCACTGCTCAGGTCCTTCCGTTTACAATCCACTTGGCGACTACGCAGATAAGCAGCAGCACTGCACCTGCTTGTCACGTAGTTCTTTTTTCTTCCATGGGAGCTCCTCGGCAGCCCACAATCCAAACAAGGCGCGGAAGCAGAAGCACCAACACACAAACACCAGACCACTCTGGAGCAAAAACTAAACAATGCGCAGGCAGAGAAAAGACAGCTGAACCCGATACACGATCACACTTCTTGTTCCGGTCCCTCTTCGTAAACAAATGCCTCGTGTTGCACGATTGCGTAAACGCGGTCGGTGGTTTTGGCTTGGCTTGTGTTGACTTGACTTGGCCCGGCTTGGCTTGGCTCGAATTGGCCGGTGCCCGCATGGCGCGCGCGCGCGCGCGTTGTAAAAACACAGAAGCGATAAAAATGCTTTTTTATGTTTTCTATTCGCCCCTTCACGTGGCCCAATGGCTAGAAAATGCCCCTCCACACGCACTTCTTTTTCCATTGGACCTTTTGCATTGAGCCGGAGGGATGACTTTCTCCTCTGGCTTTCTCCAGACTCGCACGCCCCGTGGCTGAACTCGATTCCGAATATAATGCGAGGTGCGTTTTGTAGCACGTAATTTCGAAAAAACCTTGCGTTATATTCATGCAAATACGGTAGTTCCTTTAGCTTCATTATGTACAAAAACACCGGCGTTGCATATAAAGAGAAACAAACGCTTCTACTAGATCTAACCCCTACAAAACGACCGACGTGTCGTCCACTCACGCGTTTCCGTAGCTCTCGCTCGTTCTCTCTCTGGGGACCGCCAACACTGAGTATTTGCCACCCCCGCTGCCTTGGCAAGAAGGAAATGGTCGTTCGTCTCGCACTGTCCGACCCCCGAGTTGCGTATTCCGCGAATAAAATTTGTGTTAGCCTAGTTGCGCATTCGCTGCCCATCCAACGAGGCTCTCCACTCTCGGGACTGCAATTAGTATTTACCAAAATATTCGCACCCACATGTCGGGATGGTTGCGCAGCCTTGCAGGCCATTGCTTTGCAACGTCCCCCGCTTTGCGGCGGCCTCCCCCCCACTAAAAGCGAAAAAAAAATATAAAAAAGGGGAAGGGGGGATGAGGGGGTGTGCTTAGATTCGAAAAATCTAGAATGACCACCGGGGCGGTGGTCATTCTAGATTTTTCGAATCTTTTCGCTGCGACATGACGACGAGACGGGTGTGAGAAATACCATTTTATTTTGCAAACATTTAAAGAAAACAAATTGACGGAGACAGTGAATTTCGCTTTCAGAGACAATGTCCGTGAAAGCGAAACCTGCCGAGCGCTGCCGATACCAGGCCCATGTGACAACATGCTGATAGCGTTATCAGGGTTGCTTTCAACCGCTTTTTGACGCCCTGTGCCGCCATCTGTCGTGTAGCGTAGGATCGCAGCAACGGCGAGCACGGCTAGTACGGCTGGACTGGAGAGGCGCGCGGACGTCACGAGCCCGCTCGCCTCTGCATGGGGGGGTGCTTAGATTCGCATGCAAACTTTCTTCCCCATTCGCGAAAATACGGTAATACAACGGTGCAATCCACTTATAACAATATTAGCAAAACCTTAAAACCCGATCTTTTCAACAGACTGTCCTTTAAAAAATTGTAGAGCCCTTCCACTTCACATGAAGATGGAGGGCCAGTGAAGCTGTTGCAGTCTATGCTCCTTATTACAGACCTTTATTTTGACCAAAATTTCGGTCTGTTGTAAAAGGAGTATGTTGAATGCAGATAGGAAGTTGAGTCAATGGTGCGTAAAGGGAAACCAACTGTACTTCCCAAATTGGTATGTTAAATCCAAATGTCTCTTGCAACCAGGTCTGCATTTAGACTGTATTTTACGATGTCTAGGACGATGCCTAGAGGGCGACCTCAAGGACAGCTTCTAGGACGACCTCAAGGGCAACCTTGAGGACGACGCCTATAGTACGATGTCTAGGACGGCCTCGAACGACGCCTGGAAGACGACGTCTAGGTTGACCTTGAGGACAACGTCTAGGACGACTTCAAGGACGACGCCTAGAGGACGACACCTAGGATGACCTCTGGACGACCTCAAGGCTGACTTCTAGGAAGACCTTGGGAACAAATTCTAGGACAACCTCGGGGACGACCTCAAGGACGACTTCTGGGATGACTTCTAGGACGACCTCGAGGATGATGCCTAGAGATAACAAGGGATCAGGACCTCACTATCTATTAATGTCAAGGAAGGCTGACTAACGCTGGTTGCCCCCTTTTTCTATATTTATTTGTTCATACTTGCCACAATCAATGGGGAGTTTTCTGTCAACATCTGCGGATGCATTTCACAGCGAAGCTGTTATACGCTAGGGTCTGGGAAAAATGCGTCCTCAAATGTCGACACAAAACTTCCCACTGGTCGTAGCAAGTATGAACAAAGAAAAACAAAAAGAGGGGTGAAGTATGAATAAATAAAAAACAATTAAAGGGGGCAACCATAAGCAGCTCGGTTGTAAAATATGAGCCTAATTTAGGAGCCTTTAAATAGCCATGAAATGAAACTGTGTTGAGCCTTAAGTGACTGATCCATGCTTGCAGAAGCTGGACAAATCTGGTGCGTATGCTGGCACCAGTTCTTTAGAGTGCACTACTCGCATAGGCACCCAAGGTGGGCCGCTGTCGATACCGTCGTTGCTCGGCGGCTCATTGTGCTTCCTCCACCATTTCGGGTAGTTTCTGTGTAACAACATTATCTGCCCCGCAAGCCGCAGCTTGTTTCTTGGTTCCTTCCTAGAACACTGGTTCACCCGGTACATTTGGCTTTTGGTAGAGTCAGCCTTCACGACCAGCAACGTACGAGGCCTCAGAGTTGACTCCGGTGCCCAAGGGGGCCACTACGTGTTGGGGGCTCAACGCATGTTGCTTTGGGGCAGGTGGCATTGCCATTGTCCAGAATCATTTTCCTCTTGTGCTTTTCGGTAGCGCCATCAAACTTCCCGAGCCATTCCTTGAAGAGATTGTGAGTAATCCTTCCTTCATGGCGGACTGAAATGTTCTTGAAGCAGGTTTGTTTCTTCTAATCGCACGTTCGCACGCAAAAATGCAGTCGCTCGGACTTGGCTGTTTTTTGCCTGCTTTATACATAGCCTATAACTTGCCTTTTCTTTATGCTGGAGCCGAATGCTTTTCGTGTGAAATTGTGTGTTAAAAACGGTGCCGTTTCATGGCCGTTGTGCGGCATGTACACTAACGCTTTGATCGACGCTTTGGGTGGTCCGCAAAAATGGCTTTCTCGACGTGCCGAGATTTACTACGCAGGTACGGCTAAGTGGTGCACGTATGCAGTGAAAATATCAACAAATAAACTTGCCTCGATGGAGAAAAAAAATAAAAAAAGAACCCCTTTCGGGCAATCTATAGCGCCATTTCTCGGGCGACGCGGGCGGTGTAGGTTGACTCGGAGACACCGCGGACAGATGGCATATTTCATTTATTTATTTACACCCGAAGGGCCCATGAAGGGCATTTATACAATACAGAAAACGCAAATAGGTCATTTCATGTCAAAACGTCCCAGACATTGCGCTTGACCACCCCTAATAAAAAAATAAAAAAATTATGGCTTTTTGTTGCAATGTTTGTAGTCATGCCCTGAAATATTTTTGATGGCGCGAGCGTGGTTTTATTCTAGGTATCACTCAATATTTGGTGAAAAATCAGCTTTGTTATGAAATACTCAACAATATTCTTTTTCTTTAATTTGCACGGCTTTCGACTTACATTGTGGTTAGGTTAGGTGTATAATCTGTAAAGAATGTTTAAAACCGCTCAGTTTAGTATCTCGCAGTAAAACAAAATCCTGAAGTTGCAAAGAAGTGTGTTTTGGCGCATAAACAGACGTTCATTTCACCCTGAGGTGGTCCAAGTAAAAACACAAAATATGATGGGTTTGGAAGAACAATCGATTGTCTTCTGATTCTGAAAGTTTAATCAAAGTAATTTTTGTTTAAAGCGAGAAAACGATTTTTGAAGTTGAACTCTCGCACTACAACCTGGTGTCGCTTCTTAACGCCTCTTTGCCGCACAGCACGCCGCCTGCGACGATAGCTGACACGATTAGGTCCAAAGAAAGAAGGAAGTTTTCTGCCGCTTCCCCTTGTTTGCCTTTCCGGCTGCAAGGGAAGAGACGGCGAATATCGTGTAATAATCGGAGCCAGTGCCATAGCAGGCCCGTTGTGCCCTTTGCACCGGAGGGCGGCTCCTCACACTCCGAAACGCTATGCCTAATCGACGGCTGGCATCAGCTGACGTGGACTTCACCATGCCATACCAAAGGTTCCTAAAATAAAATGAATGGCTCTTCACCGTAATGTTAGTGGTGCGCCTCTCTAAAAATATTTTTGAGGAAAAACAAATTTCATGGGGTGATGGCAGTTTGAACTCGTAAAAAGGGAGCGAAACTAGGAGTCATTTAATAAATGACGAGAAGATTTTTTGACGGAACACTGGAATATGTTTGCCTAAAAACTATATGGTATTTGGATTGCTATGTAATGAGGAGAGATACGAAGGAACTTCTCGGGCGGAACCAGCTGCACTACGGAAGGAGGGAGGGAGAAAAGGGAACCGACCGCCTTTTTTTTCTCCTCTTTGCTCAGCTGGTTCCGCCCGAGATATACAATAACCAACTAGCTTAGCTCATTCCCATTGGATGAATCAGTTCTAGAGGTGAGCCTATGTATCGGGTGGCAGCTTGCGCCACCTAATGGCGTAGTGCCTACTCGCATAGCACACAATCGCGTTGGTTCCAGCGGGCCTAGGCCTCGTTCGCTTGGCGGAATTTCATGGTTTTATATTCAATTTTTTGGCCGATTTTTGTAGAAAACACTGTGTAGGTACCAAATTTCCATCCTTGTACCCGATATGAAAAGGACGATTGTGACACTATATGTAATTTCTTTTAACTTGGAACCAATGCAGTTTTTGACGATTCTGAAAAAATTAATTGGTATAAGGGACATATTGTCATACGCGGTATTGTTTTAAGTGGATTGCGCCGTAAGGAAATTTACAAGGGTGCACTGCCTCGGAGGTCAGCAGTTCAGGGAAAAGGGCTAATGTTGGGTGTAACATGTGAAACATTTTGCTTGCTCGCATTTAGTAAAACAAAATATCCTCAATAAGACGAATTGGATAGAACAATGTAGCATACGACTAGTTTATTTATTAAAATATAGCTGGACATTATTTTGCCAGCACCGTCCTTTAAAATTAAAATGAACTACCGTATGCACTCGTGTAATGAACATATTTGAGAGTGCGTTTATTACGCAGGGTAAAATTTCTGCATTTACGCACTTTGCAAAAATGTTATTTTAGATGCTAACATGACACGGCATGGTACTGCGGCACAACTCGACTGACGGAGGTGCACCCATGACCGGGCATGGGCGCGCCACAGTAACCATGCTTTATAAATTGCTAACATTTTTAGGACGCTTTTGGCGTGACATTTACCAAAGGACCTATGAAGCTCACTCGGCACGGAGAGCGGTGTGACCGTTCTTAGACCTAACCCCTTTCACTCGGTGTCCGAAAGCAAACCACAGGCGACGGCGTGTTTGTTGACATCAATGCATCCAGTGGGCAAAACGTGTCCGGACAATTCCTCGACACCAGCTTCGTTAGGTGTGTTCCACACCAAGAGTGAACACCGCTCTGTTTCAACAGTTAAAAGAGAGCGGCGTTAGGTGTGCTTGCCGCTCTGCTTCACTGTTGATCACTCCCGCAACTACGCACTTGCAGCCATGAGAGCGTGTACTGCTATACTTGGCTTGGCTTGACGTGGCCTGGCCGCGGCAAAAGAAATTTGGCCTGGTGACTAGCTGAGTTGGATGCAGTTCGGGACTAGTGGAGCCGAAAATTGGACATGCATCATTACGCTAGGGGAAAAAAAAAGTTGAAATATTGATGCCCATTATGGGGGCTGCATTCATTTTGCGAGTAAATGCGTCATGTTCAATACAAGAAAAACTAAATGGACGATCGGCAGCGAGTGAAAGGCCCTACTGAGGCGTTGCTATGTCCTCCAAGCGTGCCGCCGCAAAGCAGTGAAGCTTCACGCCAGAGCGCCGGTACAAAGCGCCGAAGTTCGGTGCAAGAGAGCTGAGAATACCCAAGGCATCATTCTTCATTTTAGAGCATTAGAAAAACTAACATGGTGGAGGTGAGCATCGAATCGAATGGCAGATGCCTATTTCTGCGTGTTGTGTCGTCCTTCTCGTCTCGGTGTCGTTATTCGTAATCCTTTGCAGTGCACTTGAATCGAAACAGGAAAAACCCCATCCCAAGCACCGTTAAGCACTACCACTGTTTGGGAATTGGGGAGAATGTTTGCACAGCCCCGGCCGGTTTCAGGCTGGACGACAGAGCTCCGAAGCGGGTGCTGCCCTTGGCGAGGCTGTCGTCGCAGACTTCGCTGGAGAGGAAGGTGGAGGGGGTTGAATGGTAAGAGTTGCTGCCGTCGGCGCCACGTCGTCAAGGTGGCCGAGGGGCAGACGGTCTTTCTATGCCACGAGGCCTTGAAATGCCAGCTGGGATGGGCTCGTGGTGCATTCCCATAGTTTGTTTGTTTTCGCGAGGTGCTTGCGATGCGTTCTGTGACCGCTAAATGCGGGAAATAGAGTGGGTATGAGTCGTCCGCAATAATGAACATGTTCGAAACCTCCAAGCTGAATCCAGCAGATTTAGTTCAAGGTCACTTTTCTATCGTTAGTACGGTAGAACTTGGTCACTTTGTTTTTTAGAGGGCCCGCAGTAGATACTGACTATCTGGGAACACGTAACACCCTCTTCTTGGGCCAATGGACGAGGCGGAAAGCAACTCTCGCGTGGCAGTTTATTGGTGTATTTCACGTAGACTTTATCGGCTGTGGAGAACTGCCACGTTTACTCAGACGTTTTTTCTTTCGGAACTGCTACTTAAAATTAAGATTAAGGGTTGTTCTGTAATCTCAACCGGAGGATGCCGATCGTGCCAACTCAAATACTGCCCCGCATCGGCTGCTGCTCCTCACACGCTGATACAAAGCGGCGAAGCTTGACGCGCACAACATCGCGCACGATTATCAGCTTGGAACTCCGCATGAAATGGAATTAGAGGGACGGGAGAAACAGAAGCACGCGAGTGCATTCTAAGCTTGGTGCATTATTGAGGAAGCCAAGTGAAGTGGGGCAAAAAGAAGATTGCGTCGGATGGCGTACGTAAGGACCGGGAATGGAAAATTAACGCACATACCCCTATGCATTACTCGCCCCTCACGCACTCGCCTAGGGCCCTCACTCACTCAACGCCCTGACGCACTCACCCCCCTCGTGCGCCTCACACACTCACTGCCCTCATGCCCCTCGTGCATTTACGGCCCTCACGCCCCTCATGCACTCATGGCCCTCACCACCCTCGCATACTCACCGCCCTCAGGCACTCACCGACCTCGTGCATTCTCACCCCTCACGACCTCACGGTCCTCACATGAATTTTCTTGGTTCAGAAACTCACTCACCCTCACCTGTGGAGATGAGTGAGGGCCCTTACTTAGTTGCTCAAAATCATTCTAACGGAGAAGAATGAATTGGGTGGTGCGAAGCGTATGCGGTGGAAGGCCACTGCAACGGTGTCCGGCGCTATGTTGGTGCGAGTTGGGTATGTGCATTGGACGGAACCGGCGTGGGCGAACGTCTCGGCCGTCTGAAAAAGTATAGACCGAGAAGGTATCGTTGAGGTTCTGCTGTATCGGAAACGTAAAGTGGAGCGCAACTTCATTAGGGGCTAGATTGGTCTGGGCTGAGTGGGGCGGGGTTTGCAGGCGTGCCGAGGAGGAGGAAGATGAGGGGGAGGCGAAGCTGCCCCCGCTGGTGGCCCCTGCCCTGCCCCCCGTGGGGGACTACCTGGACGTGAACGTGATGGTGGCCGCCAACCCCCTCAACTTTGTCTGCCAGCCCTGGCTCAACGGAGGACAACTCAGCCAGCTCATGGCCGAGATGCAGGTGGGAACCCCACCCCAGTATTTGCTCCATCTCTCCACGGCGCCCTGGACGAGCCGCCAAACCAGCAGGAATGACCCATCTGGCTTAAAGGGGCACTGCCTTTTGCAATAGTCTCAATCTTTAGGCTATAATCATTCTAAAAAACCAAACATTACAATCCTGCCGATTTCTTTTTTTATTAAAATTGGTATTGAAAGATTGACACCAGGGGTGCCTTCGCATAAGAAGGGGCAGGGCTCTACTGTTCCTCGTGTGACAACACCCTTTGGTGTCGCGACAATTCGGAGGTAATGCATTTTTTGACGCCGATTTTAGGAGAAACCAGCCAACCAACTTCAGGAGCCGCGTAAGCATTAAATATGTAGGTCGGTCAGCCCGTAACCGCTAAACGATCTTAAAGAAAAATGGCAGCCGGTGCCAGGGATTGAACCCCAATGACCAGTGTGGAAGCCGAGTGCAGTCGGAGCTACTGACCCAGCATGTAGGAACGGGAGGAGCAGAAACAGGTGGTGTAAAAAATGTTTTTAGAATGAGGATTGGGAAGAGCAGGAAAGCGCTCCTCCCTTCTCTCTGTGTCCCAGAAAATTCAGAGCAAAGGATCTGGAAGGTGCTGAAGGGAAGTGCACACAACATCACAAAGAGACAATGATGTGACGTAATCTGTTTCCACGCAAATCCCTATCCTAGGCACCACTTGAACAAGAGCTTCACACACCCTATAAAACCACTACATTTACCGTAATATCCCGAGTCATCGCCCACCCCCCTACCGCCTGAAATTCATTAAAAAAGTGGGGTGGGCCATGTCTCGGTGGGTGAGCACAAAGACTTGAAAAAAAGCGAAAAAAATTGCCTATTTTTCTTTGCGTATCTAGCGCTGACGCACAAGAGATACATGTCAAACTCAATACTCGATTTAGTTTCATTGTTTTATAGAAAAAAATGCTCACGAAAGAACATTTTACTATAGCAAAGTCCGTTGCTTGCATACGCGCTAGAAACACCGCCGATCTGCATATAGCGCGAACGTTTGTTCCGTGAAAGAATGTCACCACTATGTTCTCCTAGTTAGTAAAAAAAAAGAAAGAAAAGTCTACAAGAAAATAGAAAAACCGACCAGGCGCAACGAGCGAGCGAGCGGACCAAAGAAGCGACCAAGAGCAATGCTGGGAAAGCCGGCGGTCGCGTTGGCAAATACTTTGGCGTCGGGCCAAGTCGGGCGCCTTGTCAATTGCAAGCTCTAGCTTGCGCAACTTTCTTGTTTGGTGCGTCCATACGTGCGTCCGTGCACGGCGGGTTATTGGGACGCTCTGCAAACGTCTGTGTAGGGCGTTCCAACAAAGCTTTATTTACGCGTTGGCTTTGCCTAAAATATTGCACAACCGCGGTCGCGATGGGCGGGAAGAAGGAGCGGGTTCGCGGTGACCTTACTTCGGCGGAGACAGACTTTGACCTAACACTCCGCAATTACATTAACAAACTCTTATTTTGTTATCTCCATCGTTTTCTTTTCGCACAGATACACGACCACTTTGGGGTCGCTCACGGATAAAATTCGTAAACAAAAAGAAGTGTCTTTCCCGCCTTCGTTTTACTTTGTCACGGACGTCCTCCAACTATAAGGTTCGCGGCCGCTTCATTCGGGTAGGATGAGTGTCCGCAGATCGCTGAGTCCGCACTGGGGTATTTGAAGGGGTGGGCGATGACTCGGTGTTTTTTCGGAAATCGATATTGGCCCAAAAAATGGGGTGGGCGATGGCTCGGGGATGGGCGATGACTTGGGATACTACGGTAAACATTTTTGGCAGAGTGACCAAGCATGCAAGTTTTTTTTATTGGGCTTTTTACCAAAGTACACAAATCCCTCGTTATAAGGAAATCATTTTTTACGAATTATTGCATTTTTCAAAGTTTGACGGGGTCACGACCGCAATGCATGCAATTTGAACCGGATTACTCGAAGTGTATTGACGGCCGGACATGCTTATTACGAAGGACGATCCTTACGAATTATTGCATTTTTCAAAGTTTGACGCGGTCTCTATCGCAGTGCATGCATTTGAACTGGATTATTCGAAGTGTATCGATGGCTGGACATGCTTATTGAAAGGACGATCCGGCGAAAGTACAGTACGTAAGCCAGTGCAACCCTTTGAAGAGGTGGGCAAAAAGCCAGTACTTCGAAAGGTGTTCTGTCTTTCACCGTTATAAATGCGCGAGGAGCACGTGCCTTGACTACGGAGTGTCCGTCGCGCCCACGTCTTTGGAGCCCCGACGCACCTGCCCGTTGCCCGGTGCCCATCTCTTACTCGATTCCGACTTGTCGAGTCATGGGGGCGAAGAAGGCGGAAGATTGCACCTTCTCTGCGCGCAGAGGAATGGGGCAGTGTGTTGAGCGACAGTCCCGACACTTCACACGGTGCCCGTGGCCCAGCTCGCGTCAGGATCAAGTCAGGGAAGCACATCCCTGCCGGTGCCCACCTGTTTAAAGGGATACTTCAACGAAATTTGAAATATTCCCGTCGTGTTCAACTCAAAAATAGGTTGAATATGATCGAGAATATCCGTAAATAACAATCGCACGTTTGTATTTTGAGCCTGATGGCTGTATTTTTCGTTATAAACTGCCCACTCTGGCAAGCGCTGGAGAAGGCCCAGCGGAGACCACGTGACATCCAACGCAATCGTGACGTAGGTCGTCTCAGGACGAGCAAAGCTATGGCGAGGCTGACATAGAGAGGATGGCCTAGTCGTTCCAGCCACCGAAGCGGCTGCTTTTGTACGAATTTTGAGTGACGGGTTAATCTTCTATAATCTTGTAGGGGGACAGTAGCGACTTCTGCGACACACAAAAGGCATTCCCGGGAAGAGGGGAGTTCCTCCTGCCCCTCTTCTCTTGTCGTGGCCAGAGGCGAGACAACCTCCGTCGCTACCTGTCAAGGTTCCTAGACGGGCATTACAAGCGAGGCGTTAGCAACATCCTCCAGGTTCTCTTTGCTAATCGTTTAATTCGTTTGCCTGCTTGAGTCGACGCTGCATTTCCGGATCACGTGCACATCGAGGCAGTGCCTTTGATATCGTCTTCTGTGTTGTGAAGGCAGCACAGTTTGTCTGCCGCATGTACAACAGCTGCGTGCAACCTGCTTCACTGCTGATGGCACCGCCAAAACCCGCACGGAAGTGTTTGACTTTGGAACAGAAAGTCAAGCTGATCCGACAAGTGGAGAAAGGTGCCAAGTTGGAAATGTGAAAGAATTCAACATCCCGGCATCGACGCTGTCAACCATCCTCAAAAACAAGCACGATGTGCCGGGAGGGTTTCAAAAGAGCTTTCAAAAGATTTTCTCAAGCAAGAGAAAGCGCGTCTGGGATTCGAAGTATCCCAAAGTCGAAACTGCACTTCTCAAATGGTTAAAGAATGCTAGGGCTGCCAACTTCCCCATCCATGGTCCCACCTTGACTGCCAAAGCTGAGGCGCTGGCCTTGCAAATCAACAAATCAGAATTCAAGTGCAGCAATACAGTATAGGCCACTTACAACGTAACCGCTTATAGTGCAGGACCGGGTATAACGCGGCTTTTTTAAACGACCGGTTGGCCTCCCATAGAACTCCATGTAATTGCATACCGCTTAAAATGCAGGTGTGCGAAGGGAAATACCAGTTATAGTGCGGTTTCTGGAGCAGCCCGCCGACCGCGCCCACTGACCCGCGCCGCGAGCACGCTTCCCTGTGCGACACTAGATAATGGCGCGAGCCGCAAGCGGCACTCGCGGGGCAAGGAGGTTGCTCGAAGCGGGGAGAAGCGAAGAGAGAGGCTTCAGTTGCCATAGCAACGGAGGGACGCACGCACGTGTCCACGTGCGTGCTGTGCGTCCCTCCGCTGCATTGGAAATCCTCCTTGATTGGAAACAACCGCAACGACAGACCAATCGCAGGTCGAGGAGAAGTGTTCGCGCGCGTTGCATGCCGGTCGTGGACAGGCTGCTTCTATCCGCAAACATGGCGTCGGTTGTGAACCTTGTGATCGTCGACGTAGACGGCGTGGTGGACGCTCATCGTTCCCCGTAAAAGCGCTATCCTTGACTGTGAATTTTCGTTGTGTGTCGCTATGATAACCCAGTACGTACTAGAAGGAAAGATCCACCTATTCGTGCGGCGATGTCGGCGGCACTCTCAAGACAACAGAAATGCCCGTGTCGTCGTGTTTGTTTACTTCGACTACAGTGGTGCTTTCTAAGCATTTGTGTTTTCGAACATCGCCCGGATTTCTTATTTGGAGCATTTCATGCCTGTGCTCAAGTTGAAGGTATTACTGGCGCGTACCGTATAAAGGATGCGAATTTTCACGCGTTTTCATTGCCGGAGAAAAGTGATTAGGGTTAGCAATCCTGAACGCTTGCAACGTCCGTCCGCAACCCGCGACGCTGTTGAAAGGCTGCGCCAGGCAAAAGTCGCTCATTTCTTTCAAAACGTGTGACACACTTGAGAGAGAAGTGTACTAGTCTGGTGAAGTAAAGACTTTCCTCAAACTAAGCTTTATTTTTCATCTAACATAAAATAAATTCTTTTACAAAGGTAAGTTGTCTGATGGCACGTATTTTGGCCTGAAAAATTGATGTTTTGGTTATAGCGTGGTACCGCTTATAGTGCGGATTTTCGCGACTCCCGCCACATACATTATATGCGGTCTACACTGTAGATGGCTTGAGCGGTTTAAGAGGCGGCATGGTGTGACGTCCAAGACGATAGTGGGCGAAAGTGGAGCGATCTGCGAGGACACCGTGGTTATGTGGCGAAGGCATTGCCTCGCCGAAATACCAGAGCAGTACACGGATAAGGACATCTACAACCTCAACGAGGCCGTGTTTTACAGCAGAGCTCTTAAGGGCTGAGATCCCCAGTTTCGTGTCTGCGGACAAACAAATGTTGACATAAAACCCCAGACAGCTACCGCCATCTATGAGCAACAGCGGCAACCAGACAACCGGCTTGACAGTTG